CTCTGTTATCAAGGGAGACAAAAACAGCATGCTTGGTCGAGTAGAAGGGCCGTGAAATAAAGGAAGACCCTCAACAGATGGATCGACACAGTGGCTGCAACAATGGGCTCAAACATAACAATTGTGAGGATGGAGTAGGGCTAGATGTGTCATTCTGTTGAGTCCAGACCACACACACACACACACACACACAAAGACCCGAAATCAGAAAGCCCACAAAAGCTGGAGACGGCAGGGGTTGCCAACACATATGTGTAATTAGCCTAGGTGAGCCTAGGTTACATAGGGGCTGGGAACATAGAGAAGGGGATGCTAAAGGTGGGGCCAGAAAAAGGAAGAATTGATTGGAAGCCAATAGGGAGGTCCAAATGTACAAGGGGGTGGGAACAGAACTGAAGTCCAAAAAAACAGAAGTTTTATGCCACCCTTTAGAAGTTTTGTTAAGAGAGGTTTGTCTTTTCTCCCTTTTGTTAAGTCATAAATATCTCTTTAGTACTAGTATAGTTCATCTTCTACTCTAGATCATAATTCATACCATCATTTTGTTGCTCAAGAAATACCAGCTTTAGCTATTGGGAGCTTCTGCAGGATGGGTCTTATGTCCTTTTAACCAGATCCCACTTTTTTTTAAAACAATGCCATCATTTCTGCCACTTCAAGATGCTCCATAATAAGCCATTTCCCCACAGAGCCCTGATTCCTTTTGTTGACAAGATATTTAGAAACTGAGAATTGGGTGGGATTGTGTTCACTGATGTCACTTTGAGGGCAAACGTGTGCTTAATCCAAACCATGAAGTTTGGATGCAACTCCCTGTGGCTTACTGGTTATTCGTTGGGCTGCTAACTGCAAGGTCAGCAGTTTGAAACCTCTACCCAGCTCCTCAGGAGAGATGTCAAGAGTTACAGTGTGGGATCCTGCCCCCAGGTCAATGGGTCCTTAGGAGCAATAAGGAGACAGAAAAGACAGGGCAAAGGGAGGGGTCTCATTTCCAATATCAGAAGTTTATTCAACAGTGAGGTTTTATAATAATGTGGCTCACAAACCTCTTGTAGCACGTACCAAGAATGGGCAATGTGCTAACTTTGAAGACCCTGAGGAGCCCTCTAGGGCAGTGGTTCTCAATCTTTGGGGGTTGAACAACCGTTTCACAGAGGTGGCCCGATTCATCACAGTAGCAAGATGACAGTGATGAAGTAGCAAAGAAAGTAATTTTATGGTTGGGGGGTCACCACTACATGAGGAACCGTATTGAAGGTTGAGAACCACTGCTCTAGGGGAACACTTCAAAGGGTCTGGCCGGCCAGTAAACAAAAGGCGTCCATTCATCGTTCCTTCATAGGAGAATGCAATTGGGATCTCCAACTCACAAAGGCGAAGGCCTCCTTCCACCCCAGAAACCCAGCCTGCCAGGCTTCTTCATATATGAGGACTGAAGGGTTCATCTGCATCCGCTCTCTTCCCGTCCTGTTCCCCACAAGTGACCTTATTTACAACAGAACAAAAACTCGCCTGGTCCTACTCTATTTGAGCCCATTATTGCAGCCCCTGTATCAGTCCACCTCACTGAGGTTCTTCCTTCACTAATCATGATGTCCTTCAGGGACTGGTCCATTTAATAGCATGCCCAAAGCATGTGAGTCCGAAGTAAGTTTCACTACCATTCCTACAGGTTCTCCCCTGAGCAGCTACGCTGCCTTAAAGTGAGCACGTGGTGGATTCTATCTCCCTAGAGAAGCAGACATCCTGTTGCTCTCTTCCAGCCTTGTGGCCCAGCTCCCCTCTATCTTCCCCCAATGCAGGTATGAGATGTCCTCACCTGTGAACCCAGGGACCTTACAGTAGATTCCACCCACCTTGTGACATATGTAACTACTGAATATGCATATCTTACGGATACCTATAAATATCCCAAGATAGGGACCAGACTAACCCAGTGCGCCAAGACTTGACTGCAACATGCCAGCATGAAGCAGGGAACCAACAGAGGTCTGCAGGGCCAGCCCCAATCCCAACTATGTGGACCACCC